CGTATGTTGGCTGTAACTTTACGTAAGATTTTCACTCTAGTCTCCACACATACCAATGCCGCGTGCGCCAAACACCAAACAACGTGCTCCTGAAGAGGGACTAGCAGTTGGATATTGGACCGTATTCCACAGCAAAATAACTGGCGAACCAGTAAAAACAGGGTTTGGCCTTTACTAGTGCGTAAGTACAAATATCGACCGAAGTCGCGCAAGCATTTGCTGACTATTGCCATACAGAATACGACTAAATCCAGTCACAGTGAGATCACACCACCAACTATTGAGAAACGGTTTGAGCTCACGTCGAACAATAGGAACACAGGTCGAAATAAAAGACCTACCGCGCCTCAGTCGCTAGACCGCCGCAACTGCAGGCGTGGTGTCAGATGTAAGTGTAAGGCATCACCACCCAATTATATGTTCAGCACTGCGTTCTAGTCGCAGAGTGATTATCAGAGCAGATTATTTCTATATCTGTCTCTTTTTATTGGCATTGAAAATAGATAGAATAACTTTAAGCACTTCAGTGACAATTTTAAAAAAAACTTGTGTGCAGTCCGCACGCGATAAAAGTGAAACATTCAAATGAAATGAAATATAAAATAGAAATATTTCACGTCTAATGCTTTATTTAATATAATAATTTTCAATGACTAGTGCGGCATAAAATATAAGATAAAAGTTTAATTTTATAGCATATTAATGTTACAGTCCTTATTTTTAGACATGTAGAGCCTACATTTTAGTGTAATAAATAAAAAAATATTTTCTATCGAGTAACATTACTTTGTAATAGTATCATCTACCTCATTTTATTGGTGGAATTATTTTATTGAACAAAAATTGATTGACTCTCAAGGTGGTACGTAAAATAAACCCTAGATTGCCTAAACACGACTAATTTAATATAATATTATCATTCTCTCGCGGGCTAAATCCTATAGATGTATATGTTTGTCTCTTTCTAGTGTCGCTTTTTCGTTCGGGTCAGCGAAACATCGAGTTTCAAATTATTACAATTCGAAAGAAGTTTTCCCTTGAAATAAAATAAAATTTTTAAAATTAAATCTGAATGGTAGAATATTTTCTGCAAATTTATATTATGCGACCACACCTGAAGTTTAAACTATTTAATAATAATTAAAAGTTAAAAATTTTGTACAACCGGCTTCAATATAAATTATTAAGAATAACTTAAAAACTATTAGTCAGAACTTGACCAAATTTATATGGGACTACATGACAAGCACCAGCTTTCAAATAAAATCATCGAAATCGGTTCACCCAGAAAAAAGTTATGAGGTAACACACATAAAAAACATGCAGTCGAATTTAGTACCATTTCCTTTTTGAAGTCGGTAGAAAATAGAATTATCAAAATCGGTTCACAATTGACAAAGATATCGTATGGGTAACATAATTATTTTTTCGGATATAATTCCGTTCTAGGGACACCTCCGATTTGGATCAAATTTTTTTTACATTTTTAAAACCAGCGTGAAGTAGAGGTTTACCTCTGCGTTTCGCTTGGTGAGTGCAGGTGGCCGGAGGCCCTTTTTACTGGAAATGAGGCATTCCATCTTAGTCCTCACGGGTGACAACGCATCTACATATTGATTTGTAATAGAGGATTGATGTAGATGTCTATGGGCCACAGCAACCACTTACCATCAGGTGGACTGTGTGCTCGTTTGTCACCCTTATACTATATAAAAAAAACCAAAATAAATAATGATAAACCCCAAAGGGATTTTTAGTGGAAATGCCCCTGAAATTTTTTACGAGGGTTTGAAGTTTTAGATTTTTAAGGCAGTTTTTCATGATAAATCGACTAAACCGCCCTTTTTTACTCAGGAATCAATGATCCAAAGTTACTTCTACAACGGATTCGGCGCTGTGGGTAGTGCAGCCCCTTCATCCTTGCGTAGCGAGTCACAGGCACCCATGCTCACCTTCTCAGCCGCCACGGGTCGCACAGGTACCTGCGACTTGCTACGGCGGGCGGGGGCTGCTCTCCCTCCGCGCCTACGGCTTTACAGAAACACTCTAGGAGTAGGGCAGACAAGATTATGTGGAGTCGGGGCGTGCTGATTCAATTTTAGTACAGATTCGATCAGATCAGATATCTTATCTATAAAGTCAGGTTGCCTTCGCTCCCGCCACAACCTTCTAACCTATTACAACTGAAAGTATTTCTGAGTGTTCAAGTATTTCTGGGCAGTTTTAAACAATTCAGAAATAAAACACAGTATATTATAATAGTAAGTAGTAGTAAGTAACTTTGGGTCAATATTCCTGTGTAAAAAAGTGAGGATTAGTCGATATATCATGAAAAACTACCTAAAAAATCTAAAACTTCAATCCCTCGTAAATAATTTCAGGGGCATTTGCGCCAAAATTCCTTTCGAATTTTTCATCATTTATGTTGGTAAACATGTAAAAAAATTTTGGTCCAAATCGGAGGTGTCCCTAGAACGGAACTCTACCCATTTTTTATCACCACTAAACCATAACGTACATCCTCGAGTTGATTAATAGACTGATATATATCATATGTATACACATAGCTATATGTATAATAACTGTTTCATTAATAGATATTATAACAATAATGACTGTAGATCGCATATACAAAAAAAAAAAGAAACATGCAGTCTAATTCTAAACCTCTTCCTGATTTTCTGGTTCTGGCTTTGATTAAAGTTTGTTTAAGTTATAGCCTATAATATACGTCCGAGTACTGAGGGCAGGCCTTCTCTCATTGCTGAAAGATATATTTTTCTCAGATATGCAGGTTAACATTATATTATGTTAGACTTAGGTAGGTACCTACTGTTCGCGCCAAACACTTTCAAGGATTGACGCGAGAGGGCGCTCGCGCGGTGCATTCATACCGGTTTGACTTTCGGTCGTGCGAAAAACACCCAAGGGCAGTGAGTCGTCTGCCAGCTGTGCTAATGTCTGCACGCTGTTAATTTTGTGCGGGAACCGCGGAATAGTTAGGGCGTCTAGTAAATATCCTGTCTAGAAATTATAACGCGCATTCCCTGTTTGGATAGCCTTTCCCGGGACTTATTGGGTCCGACTCAGAATCTGTATAAGTGCATTCGACAATATTAGCTAGTGCGGCCTCTGATATTCTAGAACTAACTGTTGCTACGCGAAACGGTCGTGACCTTTGATCCGTAAACTCCGTGTGAGTTTTGTGCGTTAACCTTATACCCAGCGATAGTTAGTGGCTTCTGTAAGTTAGTTAATCGTACGATAGAGTTAATTGACGGTCAACGTGACGAAAGAAGAAAGTGACTGTGGACAACCTCGGAAGGCCCCCTCAAGTTGGAGCGGTGTCGACGCTCGGGCTGCTGCTGACGGCCAAGGTCTAGGTTCAATCACCATCAGTCACACCCAGATACACATCACATCACTTATTTCCCTTTCACTACACAACCACATGTGACCTGACCGACTCCGGAGGGACCAGTCGCCTTGGATATAGGTAAGTAAGCTCCGCCTAATTCCTCTGCCGGTCGACTGGCCGTAGTATAGAACGCTCCCCCATATATTTTAGTGTAATTCGAGAGATTCCACGTGGCCACATTGAGGCCCGACCTACGTCTGCTCGGGAAGTCTTCTGCTCATGGGCCCCAGAGGATTGGACCCTTTAAGGGAGCAGCCGTAGGCCGTAACACCTACATTATTAAAAAGCAGGCCGATGATCAAGTCATATTTGTGTCGTCGGCGGCCGAGTTGCAAATGATGGTTACAGTCATTAAAAGAAATGGGTATGAAAGTGAACGCAAGTAAGACGAAAGTGATGGGTTTTAAAGAGAAGAAATTAAAACAATTTGTGAAATAAGAATAGAAGGGGAGTTGGTTGAGCAAGTGGATGAGTTTGTATATTTGGGATGTGTATTTCGCAGGGATGGTAGATATGATAAGAATTTAGAATGATGAGTGAACGCAGGACGTAGAGTAAATGTGACTCTTCACTCTATTGTGAGAAGTCAGAATGTGTCAAAAAAGGCATGTGTGGAAACTTACAATGCAAGGTAATGCAAATACAAGGTAGCTAACCTTAATGTATGGTACTGAAAGTTGGATGTAGCAAAAGAAGTACGAGTGTAGAATTAATGGTGTAGAAATGCGGTAATTAAGGAGTATGTTGGAAGAATGAACGAGGAAAGAGTGACAAAGTAAATTTATGTTTCAGAAGTGAACGGTAAACTCGGGAAGGGACGCCCTAGACGAAAGTTTATCAACCAAATTGGCGATATTTTGAAGATGGGCCAGATTAAGAGTAACCTTAAACTACGAACATTTATGCGTAGGTATACTGGTAAAGGAGGCGAGCGAGGTGTGTCAAGATCGTGACTCTGGCTACCCTTCTGGGTGACAGGCGTGAGTGTTTATGATTATGATAATATGATGACTAACGACTTGTGTAACCTATGCCTAGAAGGTCGTTCCATATTTATATAAGCTGATGATACAACACTTACTTTTTCAGCCAGTACATAAAGTGAAACGTACCAACGAGCGCATCAAAAAACTGTTTCCACCCTCCTTGAATTAAGTACTTTAAATTTAAATGCAGATGATGCGTTATTTTTATTAACACCAAATAAAAATACAATTTTTTTACGATTCTCGTTTATTGAAATGCTTGGCTATAATTATAAAGAGTAGGTACAATATTTCGGAGTCCATTATTAAAGCCGTGTCGTTTGTTTTCCATCGCAATAATAATATTAAATTAAAAAATGATTAATGGTATCCGTAAAAACTCATTTTGAGCTTATTTTTACAAATATTTCTATTTGTTATTTTAGGATTAATTACACGATTACAGAACAATATGTTTAATTAATTAGTTAAAGTATATACCTATCAGCTAAATTCATCGGACAGCCATTATTTTCGTTTTCACCACAAAATGTTTTTTTTTTCTTTTGAGAAATGTTCCTCAGAAACTATTTGAGCAGTTTCTTATTTTTCTATAGTTACGCCGGCGCTGCACTATTAGCTGTGTTGCTTGTCGTGTTAGAGACGTTGTCATCAGGTTCGTCAATTTGGAGCCATGGCATTCGTCGCTGGAGTTCTTGTCTGAAATGTTTAAATTTTTTAGAGAGTTTATATTAAGAAGTCTCTTAATCGAGAATATATTATGGCAGCTCTTCACTTTGGCCAACATTGTGGCGAATGTGTTGGCAAAGATATTAGCCAAGAGTTTCTGATGGCGTCCATACGTTGGAAGGTCGTTCAGTTTGCTTGGATTCCGGGCAATGCGCGGATGAATTTATTAAAATGGATATTCAGGCGCTAACGGCTGCTGCGGCTTATTTATTTACAACATACCGCTACTACGTGAATGTGTATAAAGGCGGCTCTTTACGTTGGCCAACATAGTGGGGAATGTTGTGGCCAATACCGATGTCCATCGTGTAGAGCGGGTGTTTTTGCTTCACTTGGTATGTATTGGAATAATGGCCCACAAGTTGACGCGATATCCGTGTGGTGTCGGTTTTTTACAAAATGGCTGTTCAATCTATTTATAGACAGTTGTTTGAAAATTTTTAAAGTTGAAGCATGCGGGTTTAAAATGCGTGAGTCAAATGTTTTTTGTACGCCGATGATCAAGTCATATTTGCGTCGTCGGCGGCCGAGTTGCAAAAGTGATGATTAAATTAATGAACATGTCATTAAAAGAAAAGGAAATGAAAGTGAACGCAAGTACGACGAAAGTTATGGTTTTTGTAAAACGATATGTGAAATAAGAATAGAAGAGGAGTTGAACGCAAAAACGACGACGGAACGCAGGAAATTGAGTAAATAGGGCTCTACACTCTATTATGGAAAGTCAGAATGTGTTCCAAAAAGGCACGTATGGGCAATTCACAACGATATGTTTGTCCCTATTTTAATGTATGATGGTGGAAGTTGGGTTTGGCAAAAGAAGCACGAGAATAGAATAAATGTTTTAGAAATGCAGTCATTAAGGAGTGTGTTAGGGCTGAATCTAAATGACTGGGTGAGAAATTGTGTGATAAGAGAAGAGTGTGGTTTGCAAAATGATGTTGTGAACAGGATTAAGAAAGGAATGCTTCGGTGGTTTGGTCATGTAGAAAGAATAAACGAGGAAACAGTGACAAAGCAAATTTATCTTGCAGAAGTGAACGGCAGAGTCAGGAAGGGGCACCATAGGCGGAAGTTTATCGACCAAATTGGCGATATATTGAAAAAAATTAAGAGTACCCAGAAAGTTAAAATACATTATTTATTTCTAAATTACAATAAATCTTAAGGGTACCTTTTTGTGTGCGGGGAAATACAGCTGTAACCTTTTGCACATTATCGCAGTTTTGAATGCGGTAGTGAGCATACAAGCTCGTGGAAAGAGTGGAGCTGGAGCTTGGAGAACTTAAAGTTTTTTGAAAAATCTGGGGGTGCGCTAGAATACAGTACACCACCACCTCGAGTCTTAACGTATATACTGAGATATATTGTAAGCCAATGTAACTTAACATAATATATAGGACAACGGACAAGCCCTGTGCTCTCTTCCGGCGCCTGACATTCCGCTTGTGATTTAGGTAATGTGTCGTCCTTTTACCTTTTCTTCTCTGCAACCTCCTTTCACGATTTCACCAGCTTGCAAAAGGTAAACTCCTCTTGCATCCTACCATAGTTTTAATCAAGGCTGGGAGCGAGAGATCGTCAGCCACTATAGTCACAAAGTCAAGATACAACTTAGCCTAAGTCGGGCAATATTCTAGGGTATGCTGCGACGTGTCCACGTCGCTACCACAGCGGTGGCACTCAATTGGCGGCTCTCTTTCGGCTACACGACACAGCCACTTACCAAAACACTGATACTCAAAAAGTACCTGCATTAGCCGGAAGATCAATGACCTGTGCCGCCTGTTTAACCAGTGAGACAGGAAACACTCGGTTGCTTTGTTTCCTGCTCCCGAGTGGGCCAGTCTGCCAAGCGGAGAATCTCTCCATTATTCCACTTTCTACACACGTTGCCTAATGAGAGAAGAGAGAGATGGTATCCACGTATGAATACGGCTATTGCCTGAGGTCCTCTCAGGAAGGCAATGGTTCTTTCAGAAATCCAAATAGGAGCCCCCATGTAAGGCCATTGACCGTAACCAACCACAAGTATATATTAAAGCAACCACAAGCATATATTTTAGAGCCGTGGTGGCTCAGATGGTTAGCGCTCGCTGTAAATTTCACAGTACGCGAGCAAACCGGGTTTGATCCCCGCCGACACCAATGAAATTGTTAGTTGCAATTTTAAGTGCTGATTTACCACGTGCTCAGCGGTGAAGGAAAACATCGTGAATAAACCTGCATGTCTGAGGAATAAGAAAAAAAATATTTCGAAGACACGTGAAGTTCACCAACACGCATTGGAGCAGCGCGGCGTACATTTCCTTGTCCTAAAACCCTCTCAGAAATGAGGGGAGGCCTGTGCCCAGCAGTGGGACGTATTTAGGCTATAACTTGACTTTTATATATTTTGGCCACCAAGCCCAAAAACTATTTTGTTTTTATTGATTTCATCATAATATTATAATATGTAAAGTATATAACTGATTTATATTTACTTGTCTACAAGCAATGTGCATTTTTAAGTTTAATGCCAAAAAGAAGAGTGTTCTCAATTATTTTTGTTATCAAACTACCTCTGAAAGTGTATATTGTATAACGTTACAGCCTATTAAAGTCCACTGCTGAATATAGGCCTCCCCATAGATTGCCTCATGCGGTACCGTTTTTGCCATAGTTGCTATGCTTGAGGTGATCACCACCACGCTATTTCTAATTTGTTTTGTGTCGATAATTGTGTAACATACATGATTGTAAGCTGTTATTTAAAAAAAATGTCCCGCTGGGTTTCTTGTTGGCAGGACTGACGTTTGTTTTCGAACTAAGAAAGGTTTTTTCGAACCAGTGGTAATTAAACAAAAGAGTGACGTACAATAAGTGTTATTTATAATCTATATTGATAAAAAAGTTTCTGTTTCTTGGCAAGCGTGTTGGTAACCGCAGTTTTTTATTTTTTGTCATTATTAGGATGACGCTGCTGCCCATCTCCGGATTTGTTTCCCTCTGTCGCCTCTTACGACACCTCCGGGATGATATAGGGTAATAGATATTCTTACACCGCAATTACACGGTGTTCAATATACTATACTCAAAATCATAAAACATTGTATAATTTACTGTCTTTTACCCGTGGCTACGTCCCCGTAGAACATAAACAAAAATCTCTTCAGTCGCTTTCGCCTGGTACTGTAGTTCCAAAAAATGTTTACATTATTGGTACTACAGTGCCCAGTAGAAGGTACGTCCAAAATATAATTTTACTATAGAACTAAGAATGTTTGATGCGTTATCTATGGTTTTTGATATACCTCACGAACTATAGGCGGCTTTATAACCAATATTGTGATAACATTTTTCGTAGCCTGTGGTCAAAAATATGCACGACTTACCAGGTCATCAGTCTATCTAGTGGGGATCGACCTACATTGGCTTATCGGTACGAGGCTGCCATTGGGGAACCTTTTTCCCTATCGGTTGTCGGTTACTATATGGCACGCCTAATAATTAAACTAATCCATTGAGCTACGTCGGTCATTCTGGTTATAATGCGGATTCCTCTTTTCATTGCTGGCTGAGCGACCTTGAGATTCCTCATACGGCCAGCAGTAAAGGAACACGTTTCAGATCCATAAGTCGTCACCGGCTACACGTACTGCTTGTACAATCTCGTTTTCAAGTTTTGAGGTATATCTGACGAGAATATGTGTCGTCATTTCAGTAGAATCCGTCTATTGATCTCTCGGTCGAAGTTGAATTTACCTAGTCGGAATATTTGTTCCGGGTAAATATACTCATTAACAACTTCGAGTTTAGTGCTCTCAACAACTATCGGCATAGGTGTGACTTGGACGTTACACGTGATCTTTGTTTTATCCATGTTCATCTTAAGATCTATCCGCTGGGAGACACTATTGAGATTAGCATAGTGTATAGTGCTCAGGTTCTCCTGCGATTCTGTCATAAGGACTATATCGTCGGTAAATCAAACGTGAATGATGATCTCGCCATTGGTATCAATTCCGTATCCTTACCAGCCCAGTAGCTTGAAAATGTCTTTCAATGCAGCGGTGGAGCATATCGTGGATATAACATCACCCTGTCTTACAGCTCCCTGCAGTTGGATAGGTTTCGTACTTTGGTTCTGTGTAGCCCTATAGTACAACAACATACCAACAGTCAACTTGGCACTGCTGAAACGAATGCAGCACCGCTCGAATCATAGGCTTTCCCATAGTCCACATACGCAAGACATAGAGGCAGATTGTAATCCTCGGTCTTCTGTACAACTTGCCGAAGGGTATGTATGTGGTCTATGGTACTAAAGTCTGCTTGCGAGACGATTCGTAATGATTCTGGAAAACAGCACGTAGACGCAGCTCAGAAGGGAAATCGGTCTGTACTTTTTCAAGAGAGCATTGTCGCGTTTCTTGAAGAACAAGACCCCCTCACCTCTGCTGCACGCCTCTGGAATAATAATAGAGGACGGAATTAAAGATCTTCTGAAGGACTTTAAGTACGGGTTTTCCTCCTGCTTTCAGGATCCGCTGTAATCCATCCTCGCCCGGTGATTTGCCGTATTTAGGGTGCTGGAGAGCCTTTCTAATCTTACTCAGATTGACATTCAGATTATCATCGGAATAGTGTCCGATAAGACTTGCTCTCGTATCGTTACTCACACTAGCGTGTGCCTCCAACGATGATGTGTACAGCTGCCCATAGAACCTCTCAATCTTAGGTATCCCGGAAACGACGCTGCTACATTCGGTTTTCAGCTTCGACAGTTGGCTCTTTCTGGCAGACAGATCTCTGGCAAAGACTTTGGAGCCTTGGTTCCGCTCGATTGCTTCTTTAATACGAGCTGTATTGAAGTTGCGTAAGTCCCGCCGCATGCATTTGGAGATCTGTCTGTTCAGTTGCCTGTATGCTGTCAAATCTGTTGAAGATTGCAGCTTCATTTCCCGTCTAACAGCCATGAGATTAAGAGTGTGATCGGAGAGTTCTTCTGCGACGGGTCTTGCAGAACTTAGCTCCGACCGTATGAACAGTTTCCACGAGCTTGTCATTCATAATATCGTCAACTGCATGGCAGTCTTCTAGGCACTGAAAACGATTTTGTAACTCGAACTGAAAGTATTCAGGACTTTGGATTAGAGCACGAGGGAGATGGAGTGTTGACTTCATCAAACGTGACCTCTCCAACTTAACGTTTAGGTTCAGTGTGCCTCTCATCATTCGGTGATCGCTGCCAGTTTTCACCCTCGCGTGCTCACTGACCAGTTGCCGTCTAGTCGTAATAATGAAGTCAATCTCAATTTTTGTGGAACCATCGAGTCTTGACCAGATACACTTTCTGTGAGGTCGCTTTTGGAAGAAAGAGGTCATAATAAAGAGTCCCTCTTTATCCATAAAGTCGTTTCGTTGGGTTCCGTTGCCCTATTTCCCTACCCTCAGCTCACCGTTCTCTCTTGTGCCTAGTTTTGCGTTGAAGTCTTCTTCCACCTCCTCATCGGAATTTGGGGAGGTTGGTGTGTAAACCTGTATGACCTTCAGCGAATATCATTTAGTAATTCCGAGTATAAGTTACGCATTCTCCGTCGACACACTCCCAATCTTTACAAAGATGCTCACGAGAGATTTGGACGATAAATCCGACACCTCCTTGGGACTGATGGTCGCCTTTTCGGTGATAAAAAAAGTAGCCAGATTCGAAGATTACGTGTCCTCACCCTCTCTTTGCACCTTGGATAATCCTATAACATTCCAGCACAACTTGTCTATCTCATCTTCCAGCTCCAGGATCATCTCGTCAGTACTCAGGGCGCGTGCGTTATATGTTGCCAGGTTGAGCGGTCTTAGGTGGCAACTGAACCTCCACTGGAGATGTTTAGCACCCCCTGCTCCGCCGTTACCATGGGCGCCACCGTAGCTAGAAATAGCGGTGCCGCCGGGGTCTTGGAGCTGTCTCTTCGTAACTCTCATCATGGGGGGTATATTGCCATAGTTGCCTGGTTTGGCGAGCGGGTTGACAACCGCAATTTTTTTAATTGTTGTTTTGCTGTTATCAGAAAGATGCTGCCGCCCATCTTCTGCCTCATTGTCCCTCTGTCGCCTCTTACGACACCCACGGGAAGATATGGGGTAGTGGGTATTCTTGCCCGCCCCTTTAAGGGGTTGAAAGGAAAGAAATGAGTTGTTTTTGTATAGTTTCACTGCATTTCTTCGACATTACCAAGTCTTAATTAAAGCAACGCCTAGTTGTGCCTCAAACGGCTATTATGTTTCGTATTAATAAATAGATTTATTTTTCTTAAAAATTTTAGACGAAAGTAAAGTAATGTAAAAAAAAATATTTATACTGACCTGTATTTTGGATGGCTGATGGCATATACCCAAGGGTCGATGCATGCGACGCCCTTACAAGCAAGGGCGGGAATCATCGTTACCTAAAGTATACAACAATTTATGCTTTAACAATCTATGTTGTCATAATATCATATTTCATTAAACGGTCAGATTTTTAAATGTGCAACTATTGTGAAGTAGTTTGGAAAATCCAAAAGTGCACGCCTCATGAGCGTTTCATTTAACTTTGATGAAAAAAATAAATTGTGTGCCTGATTTTTAAAATATATTATTTACGTGTATTAAATTTAGCACAGCCTATATTGATGATTTTTTTTTGATATAAAGGTGACAAACGAGCAAACAGTTCACCTGATGGTAAGTGGTTGCTGTGGCCCAAAGACATCTAAATCTATCCTCGATTACGAAACAAAACGCAGATGCGTTGTCACCCGTGAGGACTTAGATGGAATGCCTCGTTTCCAGTAAAAAGGGTCTCCGGTTCTCTGGTGAGTGTATCACCATACAAAACACAGCAGCGTTAAGCTGCTATTTTACGCAGGTATTCTGTGAAGGCGTGGTCACTCCCCGGTAGAGCCGACCCATTCGTTATACAACTATACCAGTAATATAGCTGCAACATGGCTCTACCACGTAAAAATTCTGAAGTTAATAAAAAAAACTCGATCTCGATACGTCAATTTTTTTCGGGAGTTACAAAATTAACACCCGGACGGCCACGTAAATTTTTTTCAAACCGTTTTTTTTTTCAAAGTAACAATATGAAATGATTTTTTAGTAAGTATAAGATGGATTAATTAGAGTGTTTTCTTGATAAACGGCTACTCATATTATCGTATAAGTGCAATATGGTTATAATAGAGGCATTTTAATAACACAAAATTGCTTAACCTTGACGTGTTGAGAGTAAAACACACCTATAACGCTTTGCGTTATGAGGCACTGGTATAGAATCCAACCAAAAGATTATACATTGTTATACATTGTTTAACATTGTGTATATTAAGTATGTGCTATTGTTATGTATATTATATGTTGTTGTTTTAATGTGGTAGAGCCACGTGGCAGCTTTTGCTGTCGCACGGATGAGCCGGCTCGAACCGGGGTGGTACCACGACCTCACAGAATACCAGCGTGAAGTAGAGGTTTACCTCTGCGTTCCGCTTGGTGAGTGCAGGTGGCCGCAGGCCCAATTCCCCCCCCCCCCCCCATCAACATGGTAGCGGAATTGAACAGAAGATTATCCCAGGAGGGTACCAGCACCCCTGGAGAATCCCTCGCTGAGCATCCACGACCAAACTACTCCACTCCTGGGCGTGGGTGCTAAGGCTGCCCCGCGTATTCTGGGAATGGGGGGAGGGGGCAAAATTCCGCTCGCGACTAATACTGCTCGGGGCAAGCGGAGCAATAAGACCAAGGCGACCTCTTTCACACTATCGTGAATTATTGCAATATCAGGGGACTTCATTCCAACCTTCTCGCTGTCTATTACCATCTAGAGACGGCGAAGCCGGCCTTGCTATTTTTAACTGAAACTGAGGTGTCCTTTCCGGCTGATACTTCATATCTCTCCTACCCGGGGTACAAATTTAAACACTCCTTTGTGCCCCGGGCTGGAGTTTGCGTATACGTCTGAGAGGACATTTGTTTTCGACGCCTCGGCAGTCTTGAAGGTACAGACCAGTCCACCCTATGGCTGCGCGTAGTCAGCGACGACCATCCCCGCGTCTACGGGTGCCTCTATAGGTCCCATAGCGGTAATGCTGACACAGACCGACTCATCGACCACGTCCAAATGGCTGCAGACTCCGTGCTACAATAGGTCCCATCTGCAGAGATCGTGATACTCGGTGATTTTAACGCCCACCACGCTGAATCGCTTGGTTCCCGTTTAACCGATCATGCGGGTAGATCTGTGTATGACTTTGGCTTGGCATATGGTCTAACACAACTGGTTACTTTGCCTACGCGGATCCCAGATGTGGAGGATCATGTACCTTCCCTGTTGGACCTTCTGCTGACCTCTCATCCGGATGGATATCAGGTCTCCGTCGATGCCCCTCTGGGCTCTTCGGACCACTGTCTGATCCAGAGTACGGTGCCACTCACGCTCCCATCGCAGTTGCGATCTGCAGCTTGCCGCCGTGTTTGGCACTATAGGTCGGCCGATTGGGATGGGATGCGGTCTTTTTTTGCATCCTACCCTTGGGGGCGGGTTTGCTTCTCGCCGGAAAATCCCAGCGTTGTTGCCGATTCTGTTGCTGATGTGGTATTTCAGGGTATGGAACTTTTTATTCCATCCTCTGTGGTGCCCATCGGAGGCAGATCCCAGCCATGGTTTGGTCGCTCCTGTAAAATAGCATCACGCTATAAGCAGGAGTGCTATCAGGCCTGGGCTGACGCATCAACGTACCGGGATATAAACACCAGCGCTCTTAAAAAGAAGTATAATTCTGCCTCCAGGTCCTTCAAAATTGTCATTGCCAAGGCAAAGTCAGAGCACATCGGCAGAATTGGCGAGAAACTAGTTCGCCTACTTCGGGAACACGTGCATTCTGATCTCTTGCCAAGGCTGTCTAAGGGAACTTCTGTCAGCCATCTCTGCCATCTCTGCACAGGGTGGACGACTCACTGGCCTATGATGCAAAGGAGAAAGCCGATCTGCTAGGCTCTCTTTTTGCTTCCAACTCGACTCTAGATGACGAGGGAAACACACCGCCGACCATCCCGCTGTGTGAGTGCTCCATGCGGGAAGTGCACACAGCGCTTGGTGCGTAAAGCATTCCTCTCCCTAGACGTCAACAAGTCGAGTGGGCCTGATGGAGTCCCGCCTATTGTGCTGAAGACGTGTGTTCCGGAGTTGGCACCGGTTTTAACGCGTCTTTTTCGGTACTCCTACTCTCTCGGCGTAGTCCCGAACTTATGGAAGACAGCTTTGGTGCACCCGATCCCTAAAAAAGGCGACCGCTCAGATCCGTCCAACTACAGGCTTATCGCTATCACCTCCTTGTTCTCCAAAGTAATGGAAAGCATTATTAACAGTCAGCTCATGCAGTACCTTGAGGATCACCAGCTGATTAGTGACCGCCAGTATGGTTTCCGTCGAGGTCGCTCAGCTGGTGATCTTTTAGGTTACCTAACTTATAGATGGGTGGAGGCAGTGGAATCCAAGGGGGAGGCGTTGGCCGTTAGTTTGGACATAGCGAAGGCTTTCGATCGGGTTTGGCACAAAGCGCTTCTTTCGAAGCTGCCTTCCTATGGGCTTTCCGAGAAATTGTGCAATTGGATCACCAGTTTTCTTGCAGATCGGAGCATCAAGTAGACGGTGCATGCTCCGATTACAAGCCCATTAACGCTGGTGTTCCACAAGGCTGCGTGCTATCACCAACGCTGTTTCTTCTGCATATCAATGATATGTTGCAAACCAGTAACATTCATTGCTATGCAGACGACAGCACTGGTGATGTTTTATACACCGGCCGTGCCAATATTTCTCGGGAAAACGTCGCCGAGTACCGGAACAAACTTGTGTCTGAAGTCGAGACTTTGTTGAACAAAGTCTCAGACTGGGGGCGACTAAATCTAGTCCAGTTCAATCCCCAGAAGACACAAGTTTGCGCGTTTATCGCTAGAAAGAACCCCTTTGTCGTATCTCCTCAGTTTCAAGGCACTCCGCTTGTTGCCTCAGCCAGTATCGGAATCCTCGGAGTCGTTTAGGGTATTATTTAGGTGCTGAACCAGGATCCAACCAACTTGCTGAGCGTTGATGTTGTGTGCCGCTTGTGCCGCGTTACTGCCACGACGGTACTCCTATTCCATAATTAGTCGATTTTTAACATATGCATGACGACGAATAAGATTCTAATGCGTTGAAAGTATAACGCTAACTAATAATAAATAACTAATTTTTTTAAAAAAAATTCATATTTTTAAAATAAAATTAATTTGAAATTAGAATTTTTAGTCAAACAAAAATAATTTTAATTTGGAATGGCTAATACTACAGAATGGCAATTTCATAGGTAAATACCTATTATCAGACAAAACAAAAATCTATTTATTACCGCTGGAGTCAAAAGAGAGCTGTCTCCAAATGCTCCAATAAGTGACATCACTCCGTAAGGCGTCCATGAACATATGTAGAGGAAGCACACCGTTAGCGCCGCTTTAGCAATACGAACTTCAGCTGATTCCGCGCTAGAGTTCTGATTGGATCTCAGAGAATCGACGTTCATCTTTTTAGCTTGCTCCCTGTTATCATATTATACATAATTACTATACTAGTTCGTGTAATGTGCATGTTTTATTTTCTTTGTATACTACAAATACGAGGGCGGGTAAAAAGTTCGCGGAATGAAGGGATTAGAAGCCCTCTCTAGGTCTTTTTTAATTTTTTTACCTTTTATTACTAGGTGACTACTATAAATACCAATTTTCAGCCAGATTGGTTTATTAACCTTTGATATATCACAGGATAAACATGTTAATCGGAAGTGAACACTGACTATAGAGAAAATTAAGTTTCTTCCGTGATTAAGTTCCTCGCTAAACAAGGAAAAACCTCACATATCGTTATGGACGAGATCTCATTTGCTTACGGGTACTCTAGTCCTAGAAAAAGGATAATTTATAAAGCTGGAAAGATTATGGCTTCTGTTTTCTGGGATTTAGAGGGGATTTTATTGATTGATTATAAAGATAAAGGTGTCAATATACTAGTATTGATTCTGGTGTGTTTCCTGATTTAATGAAGCATAGTAAAGTAATACCTTTATTTAAATCTGGTAGCACATTAGACCCCGCTAATTTTAAACCTATTTCTGTACTGCCAACACTTAGTAAGATTTTTGAACAAATTATTCTTTATCAAATGTATTTTTTTAATATAAATAATTTACATCATAAAATCAATTTGGTTTCATAAGGTGTCGCTCGACAACTGATGACAGTGTTGAGCTGATTAAATATATCTTTAATGCATGGGAGAATTCACAGGATGCTTTGGGTATATTCTGTGATCTATCCAAGGCCTTCGATTGTGTTAACCATGAAACATTAATCAGGAAACTTTATCCCCACGGTGTAAGAAGTGATGCTCTTAAATTAATTATTTCATATTTAAGTAACAGAACGCAAAAAGGTGTCATTAATAGCACGAGCTCTTCCGGGTCGATGGTACAAATGGGCGTGCCTCATGGTTCAATTCTCGGCCCTTTTCTATTATTGTATATATTAATGACTTACATAGTAGGGGATAATCATGATATAGTATTATTTGCTGATGACACAAAATATGAGGAAGTAAATAATGCCATGCTTTACATTTCATCATTCATCATCATTACAGCCCATCACAAGTCCACTGCTGAACATAGGCCTCCCCCAATTAATGCCACAAAGCATAGCCCTGAGCCGCCTACATCCATCGACTTCCTGCATGTCTCATCAGGTCGTCGCTTCATCTAGTGGGAGGACGCCCTACTCTAAAACGAAATGTATGAAATTCATGACTCCAAACATTTAAATAATTTTAAAAGTAATTTCGAATAAAATCTTGTCAAGTCTTGTCGATACCACCAGTTTTCTTGGAACCACACTCTACGCGAAGCTACAATGGGGCCCATATATCAAAACTAGTAAGCAGACTTAGTTCTGCAGCATATGATGTAAAAAATTTAGAAATATAACCAGTGTTGAAACAGCTAGACTAGTTTAGCTATTTCCATAGCATAATGTCGTATGGTATTTTGCTATGGAGACACGAGTGTTACACTGAAATTATATTTGTTTTACAGAAGAGGAAAGAGCAATCTTTGATTTAAGGCTTAAAGAGTCGCTGCGCTAAAAATTTAAGGAAATTAATGTATTATCTTTGGCCTCTCAATACATTTATGAAAATGTAATGTACGAACACAAAAATAAAAGTGGTTTTACAAAAACAACTGATATTCATTCTGTAAATACTAGGAACACAAGCCAGTACTCGTAGTACCAGTTGCTCGTAAAGGATGAGTAACTGGTACTACCAACACTCCTTCCTTTACGATGCACATCTACGTCTCGACGAGGACGAGGTGGCGACATTAATCCTTGCAAGGAGCTTTGGCGAAGCGTAGGTATTGGTGAGACTTGTCGCGGCCAAAATCAACTCGTGGCTGAATGTACATGGTATGTCGTTAGCCATAGCGAAGACGGAGGTTGTGGTACTCACAGCTCAGAAGTGACTTCCGAGGCCCTTCCAGGCTTTCGTCGTGGATCAACACATCGAGATTCGGGGGTCTCTGAAACATCTCGGAGTGACGATTGACTCAAAACTGACGTTTTGAGAACATACTGTCAGTGTGGCCACAAAACTTGTGCTGTGTGGCCACGATGTTGGCGAGTCTTTCTCGGTTATTGCCAAATTTCGGACGACCAAGGAGCAGCCGCAGACGACCTCTCATGAGTGTCGCTAACTCGATCACGCTATATGGAGTAGAGATCTGGGGAGAAGCACTCAAAGTAGAGAAAAATCGGAAGCTACTTGCGTCGGCACAACGTAAGAGTGCACTGAGGATAGCCTGTGCCTATCGAATGGTATTGGAGGCAGCCGTGTTGGTCATTTAAGGTACAATCCCAATCGATATTTTGGGATTCGAGAGGAGCTGTATCTGGGACGCTCGGCGGGCTGGAACAGTTGATGGACGTAAGGACTCGCGAACGCGAGGAGACTTTTCTGCTCTAGCAATGGCGCTGGGAATCCTGGGAAACCGGGCGGTGGACTTATAGGCTTATTGAACGAGTCCGTGACTGGGTCTTACGTGAACATGGAGAGGTAGGCTACTACCTAACACAATTCCTTATTGGACACGGACAGTTCAATGCCTACTTACACCGTATGAAAATCTGAAACGTTTCTGATTGTGTATACTATCCGGGCGTTGTTGACTCCACCGAGCACACCTTCAGTGTCTGTCAGTGCTGGTCTGAAACACGGCTACGTTGGCAGAGCGAGAAGAGGATGCTTCAGAGGCCGGAAGAGGTCGTTACTTGGATCTTGGCAAAGAATGACAACTGGACGGCGATGACGGGTATGGTAGGGTATGTAAAGGAGGTTCTGCTGATGAAGAAGAAGGAAGAAAAAGAAGAAGAAACGGAGGAGTAGTCACGTAATGCAGCGATGAAGAGGAGTACCTAACCCGGTCCCGTGGTGCCCACGTACCGTACAAGTACCCACTTAAGAGAGAAGAGGTTTTAGTGAGTAAAAATTCCATACTACCGGTCTTACAAACACTTGACGGTGTCTTTTTGAAGATTTCCTCCTCTCTCTCTAATAAATAAAAGTACCAGTACCAATTACTCGAACTCCCAGAAAATATACAAAAGGAGAAAGAGACGTCTCCATACATTCTTGGGCCCAAACGTTAACAAGATGAAAGTACCATTGAAAGCGTATATATAAACAATTCATACCTGAAAATCTGGTAAGATTTGTCAATCTAGAAGCTGAGTTATTGTAGAATAAGTAAAGTGAGACCTACACTGTAACCTGTGATTTTTCACTGTTATTACACTATAACAGGCTACTTTTCACTATAATTTCCTAAAGATATAAAAGAAGGATCAGTATAAAATCACCAAAAAGCTGTGGTTAATAATGAAACGAATCGGTGAAACGATTAACGAAAGTTAAAACAACAACTAAGTGAAGTGTATATGAGGGATATCCATCTGAGATCGATTACTTGAATTGATGTTGTATCTGTTACTTGTTGGAATGTTGATATTTTGTATTTTTTATTATTATTTGCGTACGCAATTATTTTTGAATTCCCTAGTCAATACAGAAAAATAATCGAAAATAGATATTAAAATGCTCAATTTCATCGAGAATCGATTATATTGCGCTCGTTTCAAATCAAATCGAAAATCTGTCTTTTTCTTTTAAGTAAATAGTTTGAAGTTTGAACTGTCAAGTCAAAATTAAAAGTCCTCTATTAGAAGATAACGTTCAGAAACGAGAATTTCACTAGTGTATTCTTCTTTGTGGTAATCGATTTATTGCCATAAAGAATACACTACAATTGATTTTCTAACTTATTTTTTATTTTATTGTTTTTTCGAATTTTAGATTGTAAAAAGAGCTAATTTTTTGTATTTTACTTTAGAAAAATATGGCCGATTTTTTAAAGAATAAACCAATTAGTTAACTTCAGGCCCAAAAATCCCATTCTCCTTTGACCTGCTCTAAGTTCAAAAACTTTAGTAAACTAAATTTGTATAAAAAGAGTTATTATAATATTAAGGAATTTATGGATAACCCCTGGGAATGAGGTGATCGCTACCAAGCTATTTCTAATTTGTTTTGTGTTGTTAATTGTGTAACATACATGATTGTAAGCTGTTATTTTTTTTAAAGTCCCACTAGGTTTCTTGTTGGTTCTTCCCAGGACTGACGTTTGTTTTCGAACCAGTAATAATTAAGAAAAGAGTGACTTTCTATAAGTATTATTTATAATCTATATTGAATAAAAAAGTTTCTGTTTCTATTTCTGTTTCAATATCACGGGTCAGTATTACGCTATGCTACTAGAAAAATTAAAATATGCGATTAAAAAAAAAAAGGTAAAGTGGTCTCGAGATGTGCTACGTTTGCACGACAACGAACCCGTTCACAAGTTATATTCTTACATACACAAGTGCGGCTTCGCAACTTTAAACCACCCTCCCTATAGTCCAGCAGCCCAGCTTTGGCCTCTTCGGATTATTATTTGTTCCCAAATATGAAAAAGAGCTTCGAGGAACGAAATTTACAGATGAGGAGTCGGCAATTTATGCCTATTTTGCGCGCCTTGATAAACCATTTTCCGAAGGTGTAAATAAGTTATTTTAACGGTCTGAGAAGTGTACGTCCATGTCACACCTAAGCCGGTAATTGTTAGAAGCACTGATCTCGAAGTTGTTGACGAGTATGTTTACCTGGGATAAATAGTCCGACTAGGTAAGTCCAACTTCGACCGAGAGGTCAATTGACGGATTAAACTCGGCTGGGCAGCGTTCGGGAAATTACGACACATCTTCTCGTCAGGTATACCTCAAAACGTGAATACAAGATTGTAAAACCAGTGCGTGTTGCCAGTTTTGGCTTACGGATCTGTGACGCTGCTGGTATAAGGAAGGAGAGGGCTATGCTCGGGGTTTCTCAATGTGATAAACTTAGAAATTAGGATATCCGCAGTAGAACCAGAGTGACCGACATAGCCCTACGGATTAGTAAGCTGAAGTGGTAATTGGCCGGTCATATAGCTCGAAGAACCGACAACCGATGGGGAAAAAGGTTCTCGAGTGGCAGCATCGTACCGGCAGGTGAAGTGCAGGGCGTCCCCCCACTAGATGGTGTGACGACCTGGTAACACATGTAGGAAGTCGATGGATGCATGTGGCTCAGGACCGTGCGTTGTGACATTCCATCGGGGAAGCCGATGTTCAGCAGTGGACTTGTGAATGCTGTAATGATGATGATGATAAATTCTTTTAATTATATATATAATATTCACTAATACAGAGCTGATAAAAAATTGGTATATGCAAAGTACATTGAATAAATACAATGCAATTCATTACGAATTGTTGTTTATTTGTTGATTAAAAATTAGTGTTTATTCATATAGGTCACTAATGGCTGATTTACACGTATTAAGTTTCAATCAATTAACTAAATTTTAACTTAAAAGTTACTTTGCAAGCAGACAAGTAGAATAGATTTTCTCCCATTTTGTGAATAATTTGTTAGGCGTGACCAAGGAGGTTGTAATATATTATATTATAACCTCCTTGGGCGTGACTTTTTGACACATTAGGACACATGATTTAGTTGAATGCATAAGTTTGGCGCGGCATCATGTTCGGAGTTTGTGTATTTGAAGACTTTTTTTTTAAATGTTGAAGTTTTCGAATTTTACATACTATGATGTATATTTATTACCTTAGTGCTGCTTCATGGGCAAATACTTGTTTCACTATTCCACTGTATAAATACAGTATGGCTGTCATAGGAAAGACGTAACTGCAGGTAAAGATGCAGGCCACAAATAGCTTATTGTCGAAAGTATCGGTCAGGTAATCAAATGTACACGATGTTAAAAATCCCTCTGAAACATAACGTTCGGCATGAGTAATAAGTACAATGTTTACAAATGCCTATTTCAAGCACGGTTACAAAATTGAAATACTGTCAGAAGTTATCAACTGATTTTTTCTAAATGCAAACCTATATTTAACAAATCATAACCTATTAATCACACGCGGTGTGCCTTGCTAAACGACGAGCGAGGATTTGGCGATCGATTGATAGCAGGAATTCCATCCAAGAATGAAACAACCAAATTTTGCTGACTGTTAATGGGTTGCAATAAAAAAGAAAGAGAAAGTTTGTTCACTTATAAAAGTTTGAGGGCATCGATTTTACGGGTATATCTCCCAAGTCATATAAGCTGGATTACTGCAAAAATTTGATGAACATTAAGTATTATAAGCCTTAGAATATAAAAAAAAAAACTAATAATGTCATGTTGTTCACTTATTTACTTATATAAATATCAATGTTTTCATTACTTTTATTAATTTATTTTAATAGGGATATCAACAGCCTGTGTTCATATATACATATGTTATATAATATATCTTTATAGAGGACCAATAATAGTTAGCACTTTGCCACTTTTTATAATTTAGCAAGAATTTAGCATTAATGACCAAAACAATACCTATTTTAATTAGTTTGTCATGGCTGACTTAGGAATATATTAATGAGATAAATACATTAATATAAAATAAAAATTTAATAAAAAATAATGTAGTAACAAAATACCTAGATAAGAAAGGATGCAGAGTCAGCTACGCTAGCTTTTAAATTAAAAAAAAATAAAAGATAAATAATATCAACCGTAAGAGGCGAATGAGGGAAACAAATCAGCAAATGGGTAGCAGTGTCTTCTTAATAACGACTAAAAACAAAAAACTGCGGTTGCTAACTCGCTTGCCAAGTGTGGTAACAATGGAAAATATACCCTACTATGAGGCAATCTATAGGGGAGGCCTATGTTTAGTGGTGGTCCGATCGAGACGACACATTGGTGCTGCAGCCATAATGATACTAGGGCACACTGAAATGATCGGGAATAGAATATTTCGGATTGAGTTACAATGAAAGCTTTTTTAGAATTTGAATACTGGCCTCTTAGACTCTTAATGGCATTCAAACAATTAAAAAAATGTTTAAAAACACAAACTATGTTGGTTTAAAGTCGACACGTCGTTAACAGAAATGGAGCTCACGCGTGAACATTTCCGTGCCATAATTTATCACAATTTTCGTCGCGGCTTATTTCAAGATAAATGTCTCAGCGAACTTGTTTCGATTTATGATGTTGAAGCACCGAGTCAAACGACAATATACCGCTGGTATGCCGAGTTCCGACGCGGTCGTGTGTCGCTCAGCACTGTTTCTTCAGCAGGTCGACCAAGAACAACGGTCAGGCCTGAAAACATCGCAGCTGTGCGAACTATTATATTAGATGACCGTCATGTGACATACGAGCAGATTCGGGCTGTTATCACTATCGGAATGACTGCAATTCAGTCGATATTACATAATGAGCTGTGTGTAAGAAAGCTAGTTTCCCGCTGGGTTCCCCACAATTTGTCCGAAGAGCAAAAGGCGGCTCGTGTAGATTGGTGCCGGAATACTCTGTAACGCTTCAACGGAGGGAAGTCTAATGCCGTTTATAATATCGTCTCAGGTGACGAATCATGGATTTATTCATATGAACCTGAAAGAAAATATCAGTCAGCAGTTTGAGTCTTCGAAGACAAGGTCAAACCAACGAAAGTGGTTCACTCCCGCAGCGTGTCAAAGAAAATGGTCGCTGCGTTTGTCTCGAAAAAGGGGCATGTTGCTACAATTCCTTTACAGGAACGCAGAATGGTTACCGCTGAGTGGTATATTACGGTTTGTTTGCCAGAAATGATGCCGTACTCCGAAAAAATAACCCGAAACGTCGCATCATCTTACATTACGATAATGCGAGCACCCATACGGCTCGGAATTTAAATGATTTTTGAAGCAGGAAAACGTTGATCTGATCAGCTACCCTCCGTACAGTCCTGACCTGAGCCCAAAAGATTTCTTTACATTCCCTAGAATGAAATATTTATTACGCGGTCAACTGTTTGAAGACCCCGAAGCAGCTGTGGAAGCGTACAAATCAGCCATTTTGTCAACATCAACTTCAGACTGGAATTACTCTTTTAATGATTGGTTTGCACGAATGGAAAAGTGCAGTAAGTTGAACGGAGAATACTTCGAAAAACAATAAAATACAATTTAGCTATACCGTGCATGTGGTTTTCCTTATTCCCGATCATTTCAGTGTGCTCGTAGTTGTAGCATAGCTCTAACGCGTATAGATTTGTGTATCGAGTCCAATGGATACATACAATAATGTATATATATAAATACAATATGTAGTCTTTAAAATTAAGTATATTTTGAATTAATTACCAGGAACATATCGACCCCAGATTTGTAGCAGTGGTAATATTGCCCATGGTAGAGTGTATACCCAAACACATACAATCATTAATATAACTTTGCCACGCGATAGTCGACCGTCAAGTGGTCGAGTGATTGTTGAATGTCTAGAAAGAACAATTTTATTAGCATATTTAAACATAAAGAGTACTCGTATGTCTTGAAAATAGTATAGAAATTTAAGGCGGTCAGCTGTCTCTCCCTCTCATCTCTTTGTAATAACTCTATGTAGTATTCACATAAACGCCACTTCGAATTTTTTATTTCAACACTTTTTAGGAAGCTAATCGTCGAATACTATATAATTCTGACTGATCTATTCTACCTTATTAGTTAATTTGGGAATACAAACTAAATATAATAATTACCAGGACACCTTTAAAGTCACATTCCCGGTCCCACCAGTGCGGGCGTTCACTAGCGACTTTTTCTTGGTAGAGGGCAACTCCTTTCTTCCTTCTTAGATCTTTCTATACGTCCTCTATCTCTACCTGCGTTACGGTCTACCCTAAGTACTCCATGCGGAGGCCATGGGATTAGAAAAAATACACCCGAGCGATAACAAGAACTATGGCACGGTGGCCAGCCAAGTTTTGGCCGAAGACGGGTTAGGGAAGGAGCAGCTAATCATAATGCTGACACTCCTCTGCCTCCTTGGCTCTACTGCTGTCGCGTCAGCGGTATGGCCCCGACAAAGTTGCAGAGGATAGAACGAGTAGCGCATCTCGTTAACAAAATCTTTCTTCTCTGTGACTTCACTTCGTCTGCGGACAGCAGGGCTAATAAGCCAACTCGGAGTGAATATCTCGAGCGAGCCTTCCTTTCAGGCCATTTCAGACGCTTTAGCCGTTTTCCTCTGTCACTTTTTGGCTATGGTGGCAATTTTTAAGGTTTTTTGTAGCTTTATGAGTTACGTATAAAATTAACAAATAAAGTTTACCTGTCGTAAGCTATGCAGGCGTTGGTCATGCCTGCACCAATCCCACTTATTGATCCCGTGAAAGCAAATATCTTACACCCAATAACGCCAGTAGCAAAGCCACGATTTGCACTATTATAGATGAATATTGGTGCTTTCAACATCATGATGAAATCCAATACGGCCAATTGTAATACAAGAAGATTACTAGGTGTTCTGAGACTCTTTGACCTAAAATTTAAAGACGTTTTTAATTACAATATAAATACAATGTACATTAAAATATACTAATTTATATACAGGGTTATTTTTCAGAGTAGCCAAATTTTGAACTTAAGTGCAAATATTATATAACATATACGCAAATATTATATAACATATAATAACCGTTATTGCAGTTTTTGAAAATACGAGTAAATAAGGCTTCTACTTTTATTTGAAATTTATCTCAAATTGAATGTGATTTATGGACAATAACGTTTTTGCCAACCGATCGACTCTTACGATTGTGTGCGTGCGCACTAAAATCAAAATAATGCCAAAAAATTACCACGCATTTTGTATTTAAAAAATAATAAGGACAAAATGTTTGAGATTTTTTTTTAATTAATTTTTCTTCACCATTTGCCTTTATTTTTACTACTCACTTGTTATTTATTTATTTTTACTCATTCTGAACCTTCTCTGCAAATTTGGCCGGTTATTGCAAAATAACCCTTTAGGCCGCATTTTTTTCTCATTTTTGCTTATTGAAAGCCGCTAAGTTTTGAACGCGGCTAAACAAGAGGTAATAATAACATTTCACCATCATCATTACAGCCCTTCACAAGTCCACTGCTGAACATAGGCCTGCCCCAAGGAATGCCACAAAGCACGGTCTTAAGCCATCTGCATCCATCGGCTTCCTGCATGTCTTACCAGGTCGTCACTCCATCTAGTGGGAGGCTCGCTCCATCTTCTCGTCAGGTATACCTCAAAACTTGAAAACTAGGCTTTACAACCAGTGCGTGCTGCCAGTGATGACCTATGGAACTGAAACGTGGTCCTTCACTGCTGGCCGTATGAGGAAACTCAAGGTCGCCCAGCGATCTATGCTCGGGGTTTCTCTGCGTGATAAACTTAGAAATGATCCTCATTTCCGCAGTAGAATCAGAGTGACCGACATAACCCAACGGATTAGTAAACTGGTAGTGGCAATGGGCCGGACATATAATAATATTTAATTAAATATAATACTAACGTGGAAAATATAAAAATTACAAGTCCATTCCCAATCAAGGCAGCGGCAGTAAAAAAGACGTAGACGAGCGCAAGTGCAGTGTGAGCGCTTACGGGAGGTGCTGCATATTTCAGCCAGTGTTCGGGGATTGCTGCAAGGTCCTCGCCCGTTAGCCCTGCTCCTAACATTTCCACGGGCTCTTCTGATCTAATAATAATGATCAATGCGATGATTACCTCAAAATATTAACATTTTGTTTTATTTCAAGAAAATTTTTAAATTTTTAAATTAACCACAATACATTAAAATTATAATTTTTAATAAATACAAATATAAATCTATATCAGCTAAATGTTTTCATGAGCAAATTTTGAAAGTCGAATTATTATAAAAAAATTAAATTGATTTTTGAATTATTTATAAATTTATTTTAAATTAATTCATAAATATTTCTTTATAAAATAATAATTTTTTTATAAAATATGGGTGACAAACGAACACACAGTCCACCTGATAGTAAGTGGATGCTGAGGCCAATAGACATCTACGTTTATCCTCGATTAAGATTCAAAATGCAGATGTGTTGTCACCCCTGAGGACTAAGATGGAATGCCTCGTATCCAGTAAAAAGGGTCTACGGCTCTCTACATTCACCATACGAAACACAGCAGCTTGAAGCTGGTATTATGTAAGAGCGTGGTCCTACCCCGGTCGAGCCGACCCATTCGCGCAACAACCATAATATAGCTGCTGCGTGGCTCTACCACGTTTAAATGATGATGAACATGACTTGTTGGATATTTTATTTAAAAACTAATAAGTTTAATCGCCGATTTGAACACGTAAGTTTGACCATATATGCTACATGGTAAAATCGCCAATCAAACTTACGCCATTCAGAACCGTGTGATGGCGGTGTAAGAACATTCATCAGCCCAATTCGTTCTGTTGATGTCAAGAGAGGCGGCTATTTAAAGTAATGTAAAGAGAAGGATTAAATTATGACATCACTATAACCATATCTGTACACCAGATGTAAAATTCCAATACCAAGCGGGAGTTTCGTCTAAGTGTAAGATGTCTTGTGCTACGATCGCAATACGCCTGACAAGTATAGCGATAGTGACAAATCCACCGAAATATAGGAGAGACGTATGTACTGCAGTGAACTCTTAAGGGCTTGATTTGAATTGAAATAGAAATTAGATCTTATGTTTAATATAGTATGTTTTTTTATATCATTACGTTGAATGATTGTTCAAAATCATTATTATTTTTATATTATAATGATTCATCTTCACAAGTCCACTGCTGAACATAGGCCTTCCACAAGAAATAATGATTAACTTGACAAAAATAATATTCCTTTTAACGTATTAATATAGCATACAATTTTAAACGTACCTATATGGTGCAAAGTAAGCACCGTAATTGTAGTTAATTTCGGTGTGGTTATCCATCACGGCAGGCGGGATCATCTTGTGAGCAGCCCTCGGTAGTGTGTTTGTGTCCACCCAACTGACTGACTGCTAGTTGATGTCCTCTGTTCCTCCGTTTTATATCTACCATTTGCTAATGAGTTTAAGGGATTATCCACATATATGCCACTGATAGGATTAGTAGAGATTTTCACTGTTTTCAATGACATAGATTTGTAGTGATGAATGCGCTGCTTGTACATATTATAGGAATCAAAGGTGTTGTAACAAGAGACCATTTCAATACGAAACCGTATAATTTGGGAGCTTTTTCGGATTCGTGAACAGTAGGTGACAAATTTTGAGGAAAGTTAACTCCATAGTAAGTATAAAAGTTAAAATATTAGATACATATTAACTAAATAAAATATAACATTACGGTTTTGGAATCTATATATATTATAATAACATTTTTAATTGCAGGTGTCTGTACATTGTACATTTTTGTGAGAATAATGATACATAGAGACTAAAAATAAGTAATTGAATACATTCTATCATTTTTAGAATTGTATGTTAGTCTGTCTGTTTGTTTATGAACCTATAACGTTTAAAGTATAATTAAAAAAAAAACATTCGTTGAGAAAATAATAAAATATCTACGGGTAACATTAATACTTTGTTTTATTATAATCAATTAATTCTATCAAAAGCTATGTTCATTATTTTAATGTACATATCGCGTCGAGTCATTATGCATTTCAATATTATCTCAGAAATAACTTATTGATGTAAAATAATGTTCTCTGATAATTCACTTTTACCTAAACCACAGTAAACAAAAAATATATATATTTTGCTAACAAAGATTAACGTAACACATCTTACTTAGTTAGAAAAAGTTCAATTGTTATCAGTGTCATCGATTGATGGTGCTGTGCAAACGACGTCATTTTGACTAGCTGTGTTGAGATTACACTGTAGATATCAAAACAACTATTTTAGAAATAATTTCCGTCTGTCTTCCTGAAAACCTGAGATCAGTACAATCCTTTACGTTTACCCGACTACGGCAAAGCAAAAAAGAGGATTGGTTGCTTGGTTGTGTATTTCTTTTGTGTAGATATATCTTCTTAACTGCTATTGGTGTTTAAATTATTCGTAGCCGAAACAGCTAATATATCAATGTAAACTTTATTATCTATTTTATAACATATATTAACCGTAAAAACGATGTTGGATGTCAATCATATCAAAGATTGAAGTTGTACTTCTTTTTAAATAGCGCCCAAGTATCTATTACAAATACAAAAAGTATGATTGAAAATGAAAGTAACAGCCTTTATACTGAAAATGATTTTATGCATGATTTATAAAGAGTTTTTCAAAAAGAGCGGGTCAACTTTGAAGGACCGTTTGCACTAATGAGCACACGTTTTGATAATAAGGTTTTATCATTTTGACGCGTTGCTCAATCGTGTAACTTGCCATGATGATTTGGCATCAGTAATGAAATGATAAATAATATATTTGACAGATGTTGCCAAAACAACATGGCCGCCACAGCCTGTCAACAACTGTCCATATTGGAAATACCCTACGTTTGTGACAGCTTTTTTTTTTTTTTTTTTTTTTTTGCGGATAGAAAATCATCTAATGACGCCTTTCGCTGTGGGTGGAGCGGAAGGGAGTGTCAGACTTTTACTGACTAAAAACCATCCGTGTTCCTTCAGTGCCCTTACGTTCCGGAGCCGCGGTATCTCTTTCGAACAGCCCGCAGCCCCATTGTTGTCCCATGTCAGCAGTGTGTGTGCCCAGCATGTGTGCACAGCATGTGTGCCCCATGTCAGCAGCGTGAAGGGGCCCTTGCGGGCCCCTCCACGCTGCTGACAGCTCTTTGAGGCGCGCGTGGAACAAAACGCGCCGTCGACACGGCCTGTCGTCGTTAGACGGACGGACGGCGAGCTACCCATTGCTCGCCGTCCACAGGCCCGCGCCTACGGTGGTCGGGGGCCACGACGTAGCCCCCGACGCCCGGGGCACGTTTGTGACAGCTGGACTTTATTTTTGGAACAGGCAAAAATTCGTCGCGCTGCTCTACTGCCTGTTAACGAATTCATATTACGCGTATATTTTTTACTTTCAGTTTTTAAAGTTTTGGTTTGCTGACACTGTTTTTCTTTGCCTCCGAGTATGTGGTGAATCAAATTTTAAAAGTACTATCGACTATTTCGTTTTTTCGGCGAGGATCAATCAGGTTTTTTGCGTTCTAATGCCCGCATATTTCCTGAGTTACCACGACACTCCTATCGTAATTAACCTATAAATTAAATAATGTACATATTAAAATTCCTATGCTCTTGTTTATTGAAAACCTGTGAATAAAGATCCACAGCTAAAGGTTCTCTTAAATAATATATCAATCGTATCAAAATGTTTGTCGTTTATATTTAAGAACTAGTGATAGTACCGCCAGAAAAAATATATTTGTTACTACGGTTGAAGTATTTTTTTAAATCCATTATAAAAAAACTGACTGAAATGAATTCCTGAATTTAAAAACTTACTTTTATATTGCATAGGTATGCAAAAATTACTTGAAAATTCCTGACTTTCAATATAATAACTAAATAATTTTTTTAATTTGTATTACTTTCCGGATGTTACTTATTTATACAAAACTGTTAAGGTATTTTATTTATCAATGTAAATTGATATTAGGTCCTTACATATGAAATTGGCGTCTTGTACGGGAGGAATACAGAGTCAAGTTTTTTTTTTGTAAAATATATTTAATTAATCAAAGGATCCTCTTAGCCTACTGTGGATCCGCTTCCACAGTAGGCTTTAATTCTTCATTTTCCACTTTGGTCTCCGGCCGTCCAAGGGGTTGCTTCTGAAGGTCTAAATTTCCAGAACGAAAACATTGAAGCCAAAAATGTACCGTGCTTTCTTTTGCGACGCCAGCGCCGTACACATCATCAATCCTTGGAGCTGTTTCTGCAGCACTGGTGCCACGGGTGAACTCCTACTCGCAAATATACAGATGTTTCATGTTTTCCATTGTGCGGTAATAAGCGACGCCAAAGAAAAAAATAATGAGGAAAAAACAAATGAATAACTGTTTTCAAAACTTAAATGTACCAGAAAAAATGTAAATGAATCTTTTTCCTTTTTTCAAATGCTTTAAAATTTCAATTAAATTAGATTTAGAAAAAAATTGTTAATACTTTAGGAATGAAAATTAATAACACACAAAAGGACCTGTTACAGTATTTCTATTAATACCATCTTGACAGTATAGCCTCCTTTGCATAAAATATGTAAATTATTTTTAATTCTTACACATGCTTCGCGTAACTGACCACACAAAGAGCAACTTTTTTCGTAGGTCTTTACCAGCTGTTTTAAGTGTCTGTTCCTGTGACTGTGTGGTTATCACAAAGCAAAGACTAACCGGAAACTGAGTTCTCTTAAATTGGAATGGTAAATTGTTAACTATCAGTTTAATAATATATGGAATAAGTTTACTAAAATGTTATTATTATTTTCATGTAATGTGACATTGTTTGTCTTTTCTACCTTCACTTCAGAAATGAGAAATGAGGAGGTACTCCCATCAACTGCATGTTTTTTTTATGTGTGTGTGTGTTTCGACCGATGACCGACCGATTTCGATGATTTTTTTGAAAGCTGATGCCTCTCATTTAGTTCCATATAAATTTGATCAAGCTCTGACCAATAGTTTTTTAATTATTCTTAATAATTTATATTGAAGTCGGTTGTACATAATTTTAACTTTTATATTATTGAAAATAAATTTCTTTAAGCCTATCAGGAGAGCACTTGGAATAAATTATACAATTTTCCCACTTCCATAACATGAAAGAATTTCCGTTTCAATTATAGTTTTGTTGATTACATAATATTTGAGTCCCATTGCATAGAGTCAAGTTACGCAAGAGCAAGAGCATGATTGGAATACCAGCGAAATATTGTGCGATTAACACTTCGTAAAATTAGAATTCGAAAATTCTACTGTATAATTCGTGGTATCATGTTAATCAATTACAGAGTTACTCGATGTTACTTTTTTTACATGGGAAACGCCTTCCACCACGGCCTCTAGCTCCAACTGCGAAACCTCTCCTCTTCCCTCTCGCCGCAGCCCACCAACACACATCCGAAGTGGGATCGTCAAGCCCACTCAGAGTGGCCACTTCTGGCCGGCCCTACACCTCGGGCCAGCCAAGTAGGTTCCTCTTTGTTCACCGTGGGTGACGAAGCGGCGGCTACTAAGCCCTACTAAGCCCGCCAAGACACGGCGGGAACCCGTTCGGGGGGTTACTTACAGTTGGTCATCAGTGCATTGGCCTGGTCGTTCCTGGTTGTTAAGATTGCATACTTAAGTAACCAAGAGTTTTCATTTTGTATTATTTGGAAGGGATCTCCATTAAAACGTAGTATAAGCTCTAGTCGCTAAGTACCAAGGAACAAAGTGTGAGCGGCAAACTTATTTCACCAATTTGTTCAAAAATCTATCCATAACCGCTGTCAGAAAATAGAAACTATTGTGTAACAAGATTCATATCTATTCGTACTCGCATATACAGTGTTAATTCAAATTTCCCATAGTACAATTATTTCTTGTCCGGTAATCAAAATTAAAATAGTACGTATGTAATAAATACATATATGTATATATTATATATACTCTGGATATATTTTTGTATTTTTTTACAAAGACCATATTATATATATATATATATATATATATATATATATATATATATATATATATATATATATGTATATATACTCTAATGGTCACGTCCAATTATATGCAAAAATGTTCCACTAAACAAAATTTATATTATTTAGTTATTTTATATTATTTAGCTATTAAAGCATACTTTGAATACACAATCTTTTAAAATAATTGGTCACTTAGGTTTTCATACATTTGTTTACACCCAAGATTGTTAAATATTATAAAAATAGAAAATTTTCCCAAAATATGCACTAAATAAATAATTCAAGCGTTTTTTAAAGTGCATTTA